GCAGCCACCAGCCCTTATGTCTCCACGGCCTCTTCCAGGAGAAGGCGCTGTAGGACAAGCCTGGCCGCTCTCCCCTCCGCGGGGCCAGGGGCCCACAGCCCCGCCGCCAGCCTCGGGACCCGCGCCTGCCGCCCGCGGCCCGCGGCAGAGGCCCACCGGCGGGCGGGGGACATGGGCGGGGCTCCACCGCCCTCCTCGGGCGTCTCAAGCCGCGACCCGGCTGTCCCACTCTCTCCAGCGCCGCGATTTCCAGTCTCACCCGGGTCGGCAGACGCTGGCGCTCCCCGTGCGCGCCCTCCCGCTCTCCCCGCCTAACCCGCGGTGCCGCGGGGCTCCCCTCGTGTGCCCCGCTGCCCTCCCGGTCACCAGCCCGCGCTTTGATGTCGGGCAGCCGCCTCTTCCCTCCCTGTTCCTTTGATGCGGGTGCCAGAGCACCCTCCTTCCCGCCGGCTCCCTTCCCGCGGGCAGAGCCCCCGGCCCCCGCACACCCTCCCTTGCCTCCTGCAAGCCGGGGCCCGGCAGAGTTCCCTGCCTCCGCCTCACCTGTTGCCTGCAGGCTTCACCTTCCCCAGCCGTGCCCGGACACGACCCTGGCGGCACCCACCCCACGGGCCGTGCCTACCCCGGCGAGACGCTCCCACGGCCCCCGGCCTCCCCTCCCTGCCCCGCACTCCTCGCCCTCTTCCCCCGCGGACCCGAGGTGTCGCCGCCGCTGCCCCGTTTGATGTTGAGGCGCGGCTCGACGCCGCCCTGCCCGCTCCGGGCCTCTGCTGCCACCGGATCTGCCTGCGGGCGTGGGGTGCTGCAGGCAGGCGACTTTGCATGCCCACATCCTGCTCTGCGAGGGCATGGGCGACGAGGTGACTGTTGAAAAGTCGGGGTTGTGATAAAAGCAGAGGGGCAAAATGCGTTGGACGCTATCAAGGTGCTTAGTAGGTCTTCAAAGTCGGACATGGAACCTGTAATTTTCTGGCAATGTGGTCCTCGGGGTAGGATGCCGGTCGTCATGTCTGCCAAGTCGCATTGAGAGCGATGGCGGCATACACATGTGATTCAATTCCCCCAACCTCTTTATCACAATTACTAGAGGGAAACCCATTGTTACTGTGTTATGTCATTACACCTCTTATCTGTCTCCAGATCATCAGCCCCAAATATGAAAACTTGCATAAAAGGCTAGAGAATGAACTGGCCAGAGCTTCAAAGTAAAATTTCACATCTGCATTTTAGAATAGGAAATGTGAAAATCATTCTAATTCCCACTTCAAAAATCTCATGGCTAGAATCAGTCAGTTACTGAAACATTTGTCTTATTCTTAGATGAGAGGGAGCTGTATCTCAACCATCAATTCCTCACTATCTCACAGCCTCATCTTTCACAGCCCCATGTCCTGGACACGTGTGTCTGAAGCACATGCCCGGCCTGGGCCATCCCATTTACCAGGGGCTGTCACTTCTGCAGCCTGACTGCCATGCCACCTGCCTCTCCATGGCTCCCCTCCTCCTGCAGGCAGTCTCTCATCTCATCTCCAAACTATTGCCTTCCCTTGCCCACGAGACAGGCCAAGAGAGCTGAAGCAATCGCAGACACGGAGGGAGGGATGTGATGCTCGCTGTACTGCACAGGGCCTGGAGCCCACCCGTGGGCCCTGCTGCCTGAGACCTGACCTTTGCCACACCCAGCGCTCAGTGCCAGGCCTGGGGCAAACACACTCCACTCTGCGTTGTAATTCTTGTATCAAACGATTTCACCCACATTTTATTGCATTTTATCATTACACCCTACCCCTCACGTCCCAGTACACAGCCTTTTCTTGCCCCTCTCCAGGTATGGCAGCTCTGGCTCCCTGCAGCTGCCTGCTGCTGAAGCCCTTCTTCCAGAAGGCAGTGAGGGTGATGTGTTTGGGGAGGAGGGTAGCTGGAGGCTACCACAAAGCCTGATCCAGGGCCCACTGTGGCCAGGCCCAGGTGCCTGAGCAAGGCTCTGGGAGCTCCAGGGAGCTTGTCCCTCTGCCTGCCCAGGACTGGGAGCACAGGTCATGCACCAGCTGAAAGAGACCCTGCAGCCAGCCCCATGCAAGGCAGCCCACTCCTCTTTCTGGGATGGCTGGCTGGAGCCCCTGGGCCTGATAAAGCTTCCCAGACCATGCACTGTGTCTGAAATGCCACCTTGTGCACAGTCCCTGCCAGCTGTCCTGGACAAGGGAGGGGGAAAGGGTTGTTCCACAGCTTAGGCCACTAAAAAACAACAAAGGCAATGCTGTGTGAGTAAGGCCGCGCAAAGAGCAAGAAAAATAGTGGAATTCAAAGCCACTCTGGATCATAAAGAAGGAGCAGGGAAGGACCTCGGGGTGCCTCTTGTTGTCTGAAGGAAAAGTAATTGTCCAGCCATCTAAAAAATATAGTGAGAGCTGAGCTGGCCCTTTTGGTGACTTCATAAGAAGTAAGAGCAGACTGTAGAGTTAAACAGGCACCACTCAGCTGGTGCCACTACCCAGCAAGGAATTGCATTTTGCTCGTTTTTCAGAGCTGAGCCCCCGGGCGGAGGCGCACTCTCACCCGCGGGCCGGGCGAGTGGCCGTGTCCCCTCTGCAGGCGGCCGGTCCCCGGCGGGGCTGACACAGCTCCCCGCCCTCTGGCGAAGGCACGAACCCTTCCTGGGATGCTCCAGGAGCTGCTGGCCGCTCCGACGTGCTCATCTTAGCCGTGATAGATTGGGAGCTGATGCCCGCGTTTCTTCATGCTGTGTGACTGCCAGGGACATTTGACTTCCTGTGCTCGGGCTCCTTGAAATTCTCATTTGCGAACTCACACCCTGCTCCCTTCACACCAGGGCTCTTTTATTGCTTTATAACCGTCCTTAAACTTCCAGTCCTCAAAGATCTCATTGTGGCAGGCTTCACACTTTCTCCCTTTCCGAAGCCCTGTGCACTCACTGTTGGCAGCAGTTTGGTCACTTACAAAGGTCCCTCGGGTGCCCGGCGAACCTGCAGACCCTGGCACAGCGCTCCCAAGTTTTGAGATGAATGACTCAAAGCCGTTTTGCGGGGGAGCCTCACCAAAATGCCATAAACACCCAGGGAAGGGAGAAAAGGTTCTATCTTTCTGTTGGTTTGTTTGGGGTTTTTTGTGGGGTTTTGTGTGTGTGTGTGTGTGTGTGTTTTGTTTTTTTTTTTTTTTTTTTTTTGTGGGGGGGTTTTTTTTTTTTTTTTTTTCTTGTTTGTTTGTTTGTTTTGGTGGGACTTTTTTTTTCTTTCCTCCTAAAGAAAAGAGCTCCCCAAGAGCTATAAAGAAAGGTTTGGACGGGTACCCACAGAAAACACGCCCGGCTCCTTTCCCAAGAGCACTTTGGGAGCGCTAAGTCCCCTTTGTATCTTTTCCTAAAACACGCTCCTCAAAAAGGCCGGCATAACGCCATGCAGCTGAGCTTCCACCCATCCCCGCTATTTCGACCCGGTCCCGTTTTATAGGACAGATTCAGAGAACCTTTATTTAGCGAATAAAAGTTTAAAGCTGAAGGTTATTTATGGTTCCACAGAGATAAGTCCTGAGTGGCTATTTAGAAGCACGTGATTCCAATAAACTTTGTTTTATGGCTTGAGAGTTGACAAGCCAAAATATAATTCCCACCATAAATTAGTTTAAGAGCATACAAGTGCAGATGCTTTCGTTCCTGGAAGCAGTAATCGGGAAAGTGTTAGCAGGGAACCGTCGGCGGAATGCGACCGCGCAGGCACCTCTGCTCCCGGGTCCCGCAGGCCGCGGGGGGAGCGCACAGTAAGTCCGCTATCCGCCTCCCCTCCGCGGCCGCGCTCGGGCTCCCGCAGCCCGGCGCCTCGCTGCGAGCGGGGCAGCGCTGCGCCGGCAAGGCGGCCGGGGACACGGCAGGTACCGCTCAGGTGCTGCGCCGCGCCGGGATGAGCCCGCTGCTCTCTGGCTGAGATTTCGGAATTTAATGGGATTTCTTAATGGAGATAAGTTTTTTTTTTTTTTTTTTTTTTTTTAGTAAAAAACATTTATTTTAATAAAAATTGAAGATAAAAGGAAAGGCTCCGTAAGGGGGTGCTTAGTGCCAAAATGTTGATATGAATCCACTCTCCTCTCAGGCTATGAATATTACCTAGAGTGGGCAGAACTTAAAAAAAAAAAACAAAAAAAAACCAGGAAAGGTGTTGGGAAGCTCTATGCAGTGAACTACTGATATCGAGGCATTTGCTCTGTGTTTAATACAATAACTCGCCAAGATATCGTAGGAAGGCAATACAGGAGATGAAAAATTGCTTACAGAAAATAACCCCCCACTAGTATTTACGTTTAAATATATGACGCATTTCAGGATAACTAGACTAAGAGTGTGGATTTGTTTCCCTTATGTGACCTTTGGATATATTTAATAAAATATTTGAAGGAAATTTGAAGTCAAATCTATCCTTCTGTAATGCAAACAAAGGCGCATGTCTCGTGGTTACTGATAGGTTGATTAGGTGATCCTAAAAGAGAACTATTTTGGAGTAACCCGATATTTATTCTAATAAAATTGTAGGTCTTTCTGTGTTTAGCAAGGATATAATGCTGCATGGCGTATTTTGTGGGTGATGGTTTGGCAAAGGTGATCTGAATGTGACTGGATTCCCACAGAACAAAAAAAAAAAAAAAAAAAGGCCTTTGTTATTTTTTTCCATTAGTGAAAGAAGGAGGTCTGGCTCTTCATTTCTTTAGAAATTATCCGGTATAAAATTTAGACTATGAATATTAAAAGTGAAAGATCACACCCCAGGCACAGAGAAAGCGTGTATTCATAAAAAACTGCCTGAATGCAACGTGGTCCTCATTTGGAAGGGTCTTCCGTCCCACCACTCCTCTGCTTGCAGGATTTGCCACCAGCTCCTCTCTGCCTTCATCTATCAAACGTGGTTTGTAATTGTTCTCCAGAAATATCACCCGTATGTGGAATACAACAGTAACAAACGTTTTTATTGCAACAGGTTCTGCAGCATGGAAGAACATCCACAGTAAGTAACCTTTTATTTCTTGTGGAGTTTGTGTTATTCGAAAATCTTGGTTCTTCCCTCCAGACCTAAATAAACCCAAACTATGATTCCTGATGAATATTTCTTCTTTCTCCTCCCCCACCACCCCTCCCCTTCAAAAAAGAAAAAAAAAAAAAAAAAAAAAAAAAAAAGAAAAAAATTAAAAAAGGAGAAAGGACTATGTCAGCATGTGAAGGTTCTTGTGGAGTCAGTTTGTGGTACCATGTCATAATCCTGGCTAGCATTAAAAGCAGAGGTGCAGTCTCCTGGGGGTTTATTACAGGGCTGTACAGGTGTCGTCCTGCTTTTAAGCACTCCAAAGCAATTAGCAGCGTTTCCATTTTAACTCGGCGGGACTGTACAGCGCCTCCCTGTGCAGAATCCAGACGGATCACGTTGTATCCCAGCACCTCATAACCTTGGCTACTCCCACTCTTTTCTCCAGACGGGATCCCAAGCAGAGCTGTGCCTGCTTTCTGATGTTCCCTCGTTTGGCACAGGCTGGTGGCCGGGTGAAAGAGGCGGCAGGAGCTGGGGGCGGTCAGCTCTGGCAAGCCCGGGCAGCGCAGCTGCAGCCTGGTTCTGCGGGCAGCAGAGCTGATCTGCTGGTGCGAGAGGTCTCGGGGCAAGGGAGACTCCAATGTGGATTTAAATGCTGTGAAGGCACGGAATAGAATGGGTATCAGAGCTTAGCAGGGCAATCTTTTACCGTAGGGGTTTTCGCATCCCAGATGGTCCTGCCTGAGACCAGGGGGGACGGAAGGGAGGGCAGAAGATCAGTGTGCATCAGGAACTGCTGTTGAACCTTTCTGGCTCCAGTGAGGTGCTGAGTGCCTTGGTCCTGGTCCTCCAGGCTGAGACCGGCTTGTCTCTCAAAGAGGGAGGGAAAGACTGTGATATTTGGAGATTCATTAGGTTGTACATCGCCCTTCCCGTTTCTGCTAGCCCGGCTCTGACCCGGAGCATGTAAAGGAGAGGAGTGTTTGCCTGTGTGTTTGTTTGCATTTCCCCGCTTCCTCTCCCTGTTTCCTGATAAATAATCTATTTCACTATGTGTGCCAAGCTTCTCCTGGTCTTTTTGTCTTCCGTTGCAATATTGGTTTTCGAGTACTATAAATACGAACTAAAGAATCGCCTTCAGCGTTGCAATTTTAATTGTGTTCCATAGGTAACTTTCCTTCCCCCATAGCTCAGTCCTGCGCTACGTAGACGCCCTTGGCATTTTCTTACAGGGTCGGCCCTAAATGTATGGATTACTTGTTTTCTGCCAACGTACATTTAGCATACTGATTATGAACCAGAATACAAAAAGCCTGATAGATCAAAAGTATTTTGTATGGGCAGTTGAACAGGAGGTGAATATATAACGCTTTTGTTCATCAATAACTCTTTGGCTTTGACCTGTCTGAGCAAGTCGTGCAATAAGGTGAAACGCAGGTCACAGCGTCTAACAAATATGAAAATGTGTAGTATTAAGCAGAACGGGGAGCTGCTGCTTCCCCAGCTCCGTCGCTGCTCCCTGGGCAGCCCTAGGCGGGCTTGTCCGCTCCCGGGGGCTGCCCCAAACCATAGCTCTCTTTGGGGGGCGGAGGGGAGTTACCCTGCCAGTTCAGCCGGGTGGTAAATAACCCCCGCGAGGGCGGGGGGGTGTCCCCTCTCCCCCCAGAGAAAGGATGCGAAAGCAGGGAGAGATGCTGAAAATAGCTGGGTAGGGATTTGAAGAATCCGTGGGGAGATTAAGGATATAAAGTCGTTTTGAGTTGCACTTGCTGTGAAGGAGGCACCGCCGCAGTGGTCAGAAAGCAGACGTTTGAAAATAGCATCTCCCAGCTCAGGCACTTGGGAGCTGGAGGCAGCCAAACAGCCCGGTACACATCGCTCGGATAAGCGCAACACCCCCAAATCTGCCCTCCGCAGTGGTTGGATGTATCACACCCGCACCATTATTTGTCCTTATGGTGCCTGTTTTAAATAGTGGAAGGAGAAGAGGTTGACCGCAGGACAGCAGTGAGGAGCTGGGTCAGACACAATTCATGAACTTTTGTACTCCTGTGTGCCGCTGTCGACAAAGTAAAAATAATGAAACTTTGTGATATGTTTGTAAATGATTTCGGCTGACCTCTCGCCCTGCCCTTCACCATAAACGCTACGGCAGGGAAAACCTGGGAGGGTGCGAGGCTAAGGCTCGCAGGCAGATCGCGGGGATAATAGCTAGACCAGCATAATAGGATGAAGGTAAATTTGGAAACTCTCTTTTTCCCGAGAGCAACTAACTCCAGCTTTTAATCTCATCTTTTTCACCAAACGCTGTTTCTGTTGTAGGCTGTTTTACTTCTGTTTCGATTTTTTAGAATTTTTTTTTTTTTTTCGGGGGAATTTCTAATTCTGGAAAATCTTTTCAGATTCGTGTTAGCCTAAATATTTAAAGACTCCTTACTAAATTACTTTAACCATTATTATTCTAAATAGCTCAATTTGACTGACCACGTCCATTTTCCATAGCGAGGACGTAAGTGGCAGAGAATATAAAGAAAGCGGCAGGTCTTTCTGAGAATTTGGTAGGCGAAATTCGTCTCTATGAATTGGTGGAGGGTCGTATAGCTCTATTGCAGCAAATAATAACAAGCGTGAATCTTTTCTGAAATCCCACCTTCCTGCAAATCTGTATTTCAGAACTGAGTCCCAGCAGAATAGTTTGCATTCCTCAGAAGACAGTAAGAGACTAAGAGAATTGCAAAGACCTGCTGTATTGTAGATGAAAACAGAATGTTATTACGTTGTCTATATATACCCTGTAGAACCGAATTTGTGTGATATTCATATAGTCACAGATTCGATTCTAGGGGAATATATGGTCGATGCAAAAACTTCACCTTTCTGCAGATGGTTAGAAGTTAAAATACTGGCGGAATCAAGAGGCATGTGGGTGCTGAACACTCAGAAATTATAAAAGTTTTGCTGCCTCGCTCCTATTCGCTAGGTTTTAGGACGTTTCTTAAAACTTCGGTTGTCGTTCAGTCCTAAAAATCTGTGAATTTAAACAGTTAAATTCACCAGAAGTTACAAAATTTCTGGGGAAAAAAAAAAAGATATTATCTACCAATCAGTGAATGAGTCTTTTATAAGATACTCATAAATTAGCTAGATATGCCAGACGTTAGCAAAATTTCCCTGTCAAGGGTCCAGATCGCATCAAAATATTTACGACAGCAGCAAAAGCAGCATTCGCCTCGCTGGAATGTATTTACTTGTGCTCCAGGAATGATATTGATGAATGAAGACCGAATTTATCTCATTAAACCCGTGATATTTTTAACCTAATTAAATGACGTCTCCAGTTCAATTGATTGAACTTTAGTGGTTAAAAGTGAACTCTTTCTTGCCATCTGTATGATTTTATGTACATACACGTATAGATTTATAAATATACTTTGGGTTTGCGTCTGTGCACGCATACGCATGCACACGTATATTTTGAGGCTCGAAAGTGAATGAGAAGTTACTGATTGCCTAATTTTATTCAGCAGAACTAAATTCTGGTAACTTTTGGATGACCTCTGCTAGACAAAGACAGGACAGATCTATTGTACGTCATATTACCCTCGTCTTTGATGGCTTTTCTTTTGCTCGCCTGCTTATCAGTTTCTTCCCTTTTAACCCCGCTTCAGCTCATCGCTCTGTATATTCCTTTCGATTCTTTTTCTTATTTTATTTAAAGCGAGGTACCAAGCCCCGGTGGCGATCCTGGCTAGTAGATCGGACGGCAGGGCAGCATCCCCCGGGGCTGGGGGAAGCCGGCTCAGACAAAAGGCTGTGGGCAGGGCAGCGGCCGCCGCCCCGGGGTACCCCCACACCTCCGGTACCTGGTTTGCGGGTGCGGCCCGCCGGAGAGGGGGGTCATTCGGTTAGAGGGATGTTATTGAGTGGAATCGCTGGAAATGCGGGGAAATGCGGCGGTGGGCGCCCGGCTCCCCATTGGCCGGGCCGGTCACATGCCCGCCTAACTTTATTCAGTTGACAGCAAGTAGGAGGGCTCTATGGCAGGGGAAAAAAAGACAACACGAGAAAAATTAGTATTTTCTACCTTCAGAAATTAATGGCCATGAGTTCGTATATGGTGAACTCTAAGTATGTGGATCCCAAATTTCCTCCTTGCGAGGAATATTTGCAGAATAGCTACTTAGGCGAGCAGGGGGCCGAGTACTACAGTGCCTCGCAGGGCGCTGATTTCCAGCACCAGGGACTCTACCCACGGTCAAACTACAGCGAGCAGCCCTTTAGCTGTAGCAATGCCCAGGGCTCTGCCGGGCAGCCGCGGGGTCACGGACAGGAGCAATCCGGCCCGGCGAGCCACTTCCCTGGCCCAGCAGAGCATTGTCCACCGCCTCCAATGTCCAACTCGCGAGCCTGCAGCCAGCAGCCGGCCCTCAAACCCCCAAACGGCTCCGCAGTTAAGCAGCCAGCAGTAGTTTATCCCTGGATGAAGAAAGTCCATGTTAACTCGGGTAAGGATCCTCTTCTTACTTTGCTCTTCTACCCTGCTTCCGATCGTCCTCAGCGGCGCTCTGCCGAGTCCCTGCCAGGCTCGTGGGCGAGCTTTTTAAACCGAGGTGGCCAATTACACTCGCCATAAATTTTTATTGCTGAGGAAATAGGCCGTTGGCCATGCGGGGCTTTGCCGTGCAGGATAAAACTCCATTTTAGGAGCCTTCTAGAGGCTCCCAGCCTACCTAGCTGCGTGTGCCCGTAGTGCCTGCCTCAAACGAGGGGGGAAAGCAGCCCGGCCATTGTAAGCAACTGGGACGAATCCAGCTCGGCCACATGCTCGCAGCTCGTAAGGTTTTCTTTTGTAAAGTCGGACCGGCAAGTCAAGATTAGCTTTGTAAAAGTTCTCCGTATTTTTTTCCCAGTGAATCCCAATTACAACGGAGGGGAACCTAAACGCTCCCGCACAGCTTACACCAGACAGCAAGTCCTAGAACTGGAAAAAGAATTTCATTTTAACAGGTACCTGACCAGGCGCCGCCGTATCGAGATAGCCCACACTTTGTGTCTCTCTGAGCGCCAGATCAAGATCTGGTTTCAGAACAGAAGAATGAAGTGGAAAAAAGATCACAAACTGCCCAACACGAAGGGCAGATCTTCTTCCTCTGGTTCAAACCCCCATTTACAAACTGGTTCCAAGGACCATCAGACTGACTTGACAACTTTGTAGAAGAGGTGAAATTTTCCATTTCATCCTTCGCTTCTGACCAGTACTGTACATAACTGACACTGCCCAAGCAGAACCTGCATGTAGCAGCTAAGGACACGAGAAACTGTCATCTTTCTTTAAGGTACTGTTGTACAAAGGAGACAAAATGACGCTACTTTGGACTTTATTTTATTTGCCTCTGCTAGCACAACATAAAAAAGGAAAAAAAAAAAAGGCAAGAAAGAGAGAGGGAAAAACAAACAAACCATCATGCAGGCAGTGGGAATTGGGAAAATATTAAATGAGACCTTCTGTCCTTAAAAAAATAATAAATCATTGAAAATGAAACTGTCCTGTGTTTCAGTTTTGAATTCTAAAGTGAAGATTGGATGCTTTATTCTGGGATTTATACTTTTAATTGTCTTTTTGTCCCATGCAATTCGGGAGAATACATTTTGGGCAAGTTGAGGACAGGAAATTCATAGCATAGTCTTTTATTCGAACATAAAGACTAGTAATTGTGAACTTTTTTTTTTTTTTTTTTTTTTTTTTTTTTTCTGCTTTTACCTTTTTCGGTGTAATGAAAATTCTTGCTCATTTCCATAACGTCTCAGAAAGTGTGCATAGAAATGAAGTGAAAACGGGTTATTTTATGTTCTGGTAATGTTAGTGTATTTATTTATTTGTTGCATAGAAGAATGAAGACAAAAAGAAAAATAGTCAAACCAAAAAGGAGGAAGGGGAGCTGAAATACAGTATTTTTCCTTCCCAGTCTCATGAACACATATGTAATGTTTACTTGTCTTGAACGTACACAACTTTCTTGTTCCCCCCCACCCTTGTTTTGAAATTTCCATCTTTGTGAATAGGAAAAGTGTCCCTGCTTCTTACCGTGTGCCATCCAGAGCTAACAGGCTTGAAATCTGTTTCCAAAGTCTGCTCTGTTCAGCGCTGTGCTTTAAACCATCGATACCTCATTTAAAAATGGAAAGAAAGAAAGAAAGAAAGAAAGAAAGAAAGAAAGAAAGAAAGAAAGAAAGAAAGAAAGAAAGAAAGAAGAGGCGAGACCACAAAAAATAATCCCACAGAAAACAACAGCAACCCAGACTGAAAAATTAATGTGATTTCTGATATAAACTGAGCCATTCAAAGCTGAAAGCTGAACACGTTATTTCAATCTGGTTTTAAATTTCTTTTCTGCTAGAGAGAGGTAGTCTATGTGGGTTGCTGATTTGTTTTGTTTTGGGTTTATATTGGGTTTTTTATGGCTTTGGTTTGTTTGGTTTTTAGGTTTGGGTGTTTTTTTTTAAGATTGGGTAGGGTTTTTTCTTTTTTTGTTTTGGTGGGGTTTTTCTGGTTTTGGTGTTTTTGGAGGATTTTTTTTGTTTGTCTGGGGGTTTTTTAATTTTTTTTTTTTTTAAGAGCAGTGATTGTTTTTAAGCAAACCATGACACATGACTGCAATGGCTGGAAATCTCAGCAAGTTGTTTTCAGGAAAGATGAAAGGCTTGGATGGGAGCAGAGCTGGTCTAATACCCACGAATTTGTCCCTGCCTGCTGGTTGCCAAAGTTTTAGTGCGCTGTAACTACCAAACCAAGCCAAACCAGCTCCCTGAGCCACTTACACCTCTGCTCAGGCGGTTTTAAATCTCAGCCCTTATCTCCTTTACCCTCAGGGCAGCCTAGGAAAGGGACCACATAGCCAAAATTGTAACGGGGTGATCTCTTTATTAAAGAAAAAAGTGGCGAAGAAGGAAACTCAGCAAACACTGAAGGGAGGTGGAAAGAGCAGGGGTTGAGTTAACGTGCCCTTCTCCAGGCTGGATGCTTCCCACTGAGAACTCACGGCTCTCTGGGCTCGCTCGGGAAAACACTGGCCAAAATGGGCTTGAATTAATTCGAAAATAAAAGGCGAGCTTTTCAACAAGAGTGTATTCGGCAACGTTAACTGTGGCCAGCAGTTAATTTCTGCCCTTTTCTCATCCCTTGAAGTCCGCAAAGTGTCTTTAAGACTTGGCCTTTTGTTTTAGAGCCTGGAGAAAACTCTTTGTTCTTCCTTAGGGTTAGCCCAGTTCTCAGACTTGCACATGGCAATACTTGAATATCTCCACGTCGTGATATTAAAGATGGATATTCCCGCATTATTCGCATCATTGTTTCTATGACAAAAAGCACCGAGTTCATACATAGTAAAGACGTCTTTTTTCTGACGCCTTCACGTTGAGAAGCTGAAAAGGTATTTTACTGAAGTTCGGCTAAATTGCAGGAACAGGTTCACCCAGAGGACAAATTTTCTATTCGATTAGTTGTATTTCAGCCGGGAAGAGTGACCTCTAAACCCTTAACCTTTTGGACCCAAACTACCCTTCCCTTTCTCTAGCATGGAGAGCAGCTAGCAGCAGCGCTTGAGGAGGGAATTCCTGAGACAAGTTTGCAAGTTTTGTTACACTAGGTTCCTGCACTAGTGGCCTTTACTCTCCAGAGCTGCTCAAAGCCATCCTTTTGCTCTTCATACGTATCTATTAAAATAAAGAAGAAAAAGGGGTGTGGGGAAGTAAAATCCCTCTAGCTGCCCTTCTTGAAAATGCTCCTCCCGGACCCCCGCTGTTTTCCTAAAGTCCCATAAGTTGGCTGCGAGCAGGGCAAAAGTGTTATTCGAGAGCTACCAACTTTGGCATCTGTGGTACAGTCCTGGAAAATACTGGCCTTGGATAAGCAAATCCTTGCTTTGTGCTTCTAATCAACCGACATGGCTCCCGAAGTTAAAGGACCAACTTCTGCTCCCAGATTTCCTTCCCCCGCCCACTGAAGTCAAACAGGCATGTAGCTGCGAGCAGAATTTGTCTCATTGTCTTTTGAAATGTTAATAACTCCAGGACGAGTGTTGGCTTCAGCAGGCACAGCTCTCACAACCCTGTTTGCACGTCCCCTTTGAGCGAGGCTGGAGCACTATAGGTTCACATAGGTGTGATTGCACCGTGAGACAGGAGAATATGTGAAGTGGAGGCAGAGAGTACCAAACAGAAACAGCTTCCAGCTGCCATTGCTCTGAATGGTCAGGAATGTCTGTAATAATGACCAGTAGCACCCACTGGTCGTTATCTCCCATGCAAAACGAACCCGAGTTGGTTTTTTGGTTGTTGTTGTTTTTTTTTTTTTCCCCCCCAATGATTGTAACCCTCCTCCAGAGTTATTTTTTGTATGAAGGGAAGCTGATTATTTTTGTTTATCACGGGTTAAGGTTGTGTACTGGAGCCTTTGTTAAACGGTCGCATTGTCCAGCGCTGCTCTCATCTCTGTTGAAGTGTGATGCTTTTTATAGACTTTGCTGATGTTTTGCTGCCATTGATTAAAGCGTTATTTATACTAACTGTCGCCTGTAGTTTTGATGTAAGCCCTCCACATACTTCTGAAATAATAAAAGGTGTAGCGAAATAGATTCTGGTTTGTACCTTGAACAATCAGTCCTTACAAGGTGGGTCTCTCTTCTGTGAAAATGCTGGTCCCTCCCATCATTACAGTGTTAAAAAATGAGTGACTCGGCATAGCATCCTTCCAAATGTCCCTTTGAACAGGTTTGCTGTTTGCCTCAGCCATAATGGTGTGACTCTAGGCCAAGCTGGAGTCTATATTTACTTTTGGGCTGCAGTTAAAAGTGCCTGTCATCCATTTGCTGCTGCTTTGCATTTAACAAGCCCTCCTAGAATGACTCCTGGATTTCTGCATGTGTGGTAGGAGGCAAGGAGCCACACCTGAAGTCACCTCGATGCCCACACAGATGTGTGTCTTTTAGGTGAGTCCTAGAAAGAATCAATTAAATAAAGAAATGGAAATTCGAAATTGCAATGCAGAGAGTAGTTTTTCCTGAGCAGTAACTCTCACTTTGACAGCGGATACAAAAGAAAGATCACAAGAAAACACAACCTGGAGACTTCAAACTTTGCCATGCACCTACGGCAAGCACTTTTTTTTTTTTTTTCTTCCCAGCGTAAGTATCTCAGACGATAACACAGCCAGGAGAAGTCGATTGCACTATTTTTGTCATAAGTACTTGTCAGTGAGGGCTTGTCCTCTCCTGGAGTGTGGTCAAGGCACGAGTCCAAAAATACAGTCTGTGGCTCAGCCCGGGCAGGGAGCAGGGTGCCCAGCAGAAACCATGTGCCCTTACTGCCCAAGTGCGCCGAGGGGAGGCTGGGGTTGCCTTTCTAAGCACACACTCGCTAAGTTTAAATATTGAGGCATATCTTGTGATTATACTTTCTCTCTCTGCTGTTTAATGGCTCCTCCTGTTACTCCCGATACATCAATACAGTTCTGTATATTATATCACCACTAGTCGTTAAGGTAAGAATGAAGAGGAAAGGCAGAGTCAATAGCAAACCCCACTCACTGTACAGTACAGTAAATAGGGACCTCTCGGTGCAGAGCCACACCGCTTCCAACGGCCATGTTTGTTAGCCCTTTCCCCTGATTCTTTTTTCCTTTTTTTTTTTTTTTTTTTTCCTCCTTCCCCCCAAGCCTAGAGACCAAAATAATCTTGCTAGGAACAGTCATAACAGGCAGAATTTCAAAGTGCAAGGAAGATGATAAGAATAGATTTCTACAAGTCCTGACCACGTGATTTGCGAAATAATTAATTCAGCACGTCCCTTAAGAAACACGGAGTCGTCATTAATCTGCCAAGCAAAGGACTCTATCAGACTTGAAAACTGAAGAGATCCCAAGAATATAATATACAAAGGGTGCCGTCCCTCTCCCTGCACACCTAGCTCTTGGGTAGCTGCTGAAAAAGAGACGCCCGGTACGTAAATATTTTTTACTTTTATTCCTCCTTATTTAAGCCTTAATGAACTCAGCTGTCAAACACTTGACAAATAGGGCACGCTGCTTCCTGATTTCCAGCGCGGCAGCGGCCGGGAACCGGACCGGGCGCAAGCGATGACCTTTGCTTCCCAGGGAGCGGGGGAAAGAGGACGAGCGCGGAGCGCCGCGGAGCTCCGCGGAGCAGGGAGGCTGATGGCCGGACCGCCTCCCGGAGCGGCGGCTCGGCCGCGGCTGCCTGCGCGGGGAGGCGCGGAGCGGAGCGGAGGAAACAATGCGGCTGTCAGGGCAGCCGCTGCCCGCTCCCAGCGGCGGGGAAAGGCCCTCGGCTCCTTCGCCAGCGGGGTCGTAAATTTTGCCGTGGGTCTTTGACAGCGGGGCCGGAGCCGGGGCCGGGCGCGCCTTCCCCCGCCGCCCGCACAAAGGCCGGCTC